GATAGGGGCAGCGAATCTTTAGCCCCAGGTCTGTCGGAATTACCCTCCTACGTAACATCTTCAGTGCTATTTCAATGTTGCCTGGTTTGGTAATAAAACATCTACAGGAAACAACCAAGCTCAGAGAGCAACAAGGACCCCAGAATCTACAGTGGTGACTGGGACATGGACTCCCAGTTCTTCCTCCTCCCAGAGAGTAGAGAGACCACTGTAGAGTCTAGACCAGGAGGGCCTGCAAGCCGGATCCAGTGCTTAGATCTGGCCCACGGGGCCGCCCTGGAAACAGCAAAAGGCCGTCCTGTGGGGCCTCTGCCAGCAAAAAGGAAGCTCTGGAGCCGCCCTTTTCTCTGGCACAGGCACACTGGGCCCCCACAGAAGTGACACCAAGCTGACCATGACCCCCCTGCACCCACCCCGAGGTCAAACACAACCCTGATGTGGCCCTCAATGAAGTAAAGTTTGACACCCCTGGTCTAGATTGTCCTCTCCTCCTATAGCCGCGATGGGAAATCTATGGCACGCGTGCTACAGGTGGCACACAGAGCCCTCTCTGCGGGCATGCAAGCTGTCACCCCAGCTCAGCTCCAACATGCATGCGCGCCTGCCTCCTGATGGCCAGCTGGTTTTCCGGTCTCTGCCATGCATGTGGGAGACATGCCTGCATGCGTGGGGGGGGGGGCAGGCATTTTTAGTCCCAGGAGGGTTCAGGGAGGCCTGCTAGGCCCAAAACGGGGTGGGGCCACACGTACATGCATGGGGGGGCGTGGATTTCAGCATGCAAGGACAGAAAGGCTAGCCGTCCCTGTCCTCTAGGCTGGAGTCCTGCCCATCTTGCTGCTATGAGTGACCACGTGGATCTCTGAGGTTGTGGATGCTGTTTTTCCTGAAGAGCAGCTGGGTTTCCTTGAAGGCAGCTTTTGTGCTCTGCAGGTTCTGCCTCCTGGTTCTGCATTCTTGAGTAATTACCCTCACCAACCTTCCCTTCGGGTGGCAGATCAGCTACTCAGCAGCCTGGAGGGGGTGGATTACCTGCACGCTTCATCTGGACCAAGACTGCATTGGTGGCTCTCCCGAGTGACCTATGTTGAGACCTGGATGGGGGACCCACAGCTCTCCTTGGCCCTTTACACTCTTGGCAGCTTCTGACCCTCTCAGCGGTCTTTCACTGGGATGCCAACGCAGGCCAGAGGTTTAGGGCAGCGGTGGTTCTTCTCCTTCTTCTGTGAATGATTTCAGCAGGTTGTAGTGTCAGGATCCCCAGTGGCTCCCCACTCAGAGTGCGCCACAGGGCTCAGTCTGCACCGCCTGCTTTTTAACAGCAATGCGAAGCCATTGCAGGAGGCCAATACCCTGCTGATGAAAGCCAGCTATGTACGTCGCTGTGGGGGTTGTGGTGGGTGTTCTGGTGCTTTCATGAGAGGGGGCAGCCTCGGTTGACCCAAGCAAGGAGGAGGAGGTGCTGCCTGTGCTCTGGGGTCCTCCTTGGGTGGTGGGTTGTCCTTGCACAAAGAGGCAGGAAGGATGCAGGAGGGGATTGTGAAAGCAGCAGGACAAATTTGAATCAAGAGTAGCCCCTGCGCAGCTTCAAAGCCCCTCCCCCACGCCCTTCT